ACGTGTTGCGTTGCATCGCGCCGCGTAAACATAAAACCATGTCTGCATTTGTGATCGCGTCTGCATCTGCATTTGAGAAATGACAAACAACAAGTGGTACTCTACACTGCCCAAAACATTTGCGTATGAATCGTCAGTGGCAAATTCTTTAAATATAAAAAACTTACTTACGCATCAATACTACAGCGAGAATAAATGTTACGCCTTCTTTCTCTGCGTAAACATTTGGGCGGCGTTATGCAAATCTTCCCACATCGTGACCCCTTTAATATACTGTATATATATATATATTTTTAGGCATTAAACAGGGGTATTGAATAAGGGTCACTCGAAAAGCTGTTTTGAATACAAATGAATAATAACACATCACATGACACATAACAGTTATGACAGATAGAAATTATGGTGTACCAACATCCAAAAGCTTCATTGACAACAACTTCCTTCAGAAATAATGCAAACCGGTGCTGGGATTGCCAAAGTCTTAGAATATAATATGATCATATTATTGCATCAGCTGACAAATAAGAAGCTCAAAACTTTTGTCTGATATCATTGCTCAAATTATAAAGGCATGTTTGCTTTGATTAAACAGCTTGTTTCATACTTCAGTCTGTGTAACTGATGCCTTTCTGTTATAGTTCATGCAGGAAAAGAGGGAGAAGGTATTGCAAAAATTATTTTTTTCTTACATTGCATTTATTTTGGGACTGGGGCTAGTTTCTGTATAGGCACATATTATAGATACTTATATTATTAGATTATACAGTAGATGTTATTGACAGACAAACTAACCATTGCAAAACTATTTTGCTACTATTGAGGTGGGCTAGTTTAGGGACATATCTGGTGCTATGGTTTAAGTGTGGATGACCTTCATAGGGGTAGGGTAATTACAGATGTAACTACAGAAATTAATTACATATGTAATTACAGGAAGGTATTTTTAAATATAAGTACAATTAAAAAAAAAAAAACATGTATGTACCATTAAGTGCATTGTATCAAAATATTAATTTAAATTTAAGTACATAGTTGTTAGAGACACTTCATATAAAGTAGGTCTGTATTTGTGAAATGGGACTGTTTATGTAATTGACTCACAACTAATACTTAGTTACTGAGAGTGCTGACAAAGGCCTTTGGAACATTCTCCTGTGTGACTATTAGTCCTGGTCTCTCAAATAAATGGTTTGTTTACAGTCTTTTCGGAGTGCACAGATCTCAGATCTTGACAGATCCCACTTGAAATGTTGTTCACAAAACTCTAAAACATCTGTTATTATTAAGAAGTCGGGACAGGGCATACAATTGCTATGAAACTGATTCTCCAGTTCAGTTCAAGGATGAACATGCATGACAGGAGCGCTAGTCCTGTTTTCAGCTGCCAACTGAATATACTTTGGATTTTCTGTCCAGCTTGAATTGTGCCATTTTGTGTTGTCTTTTCTGGCTAAAATGGAAAATGCTGTCAGGGCTAGAAAGACAGAATGTTTGATGAAACACAGATGGTGAAGGTCACCTTGAGGGAGTTTACCGCAAGCAATAAATAGAGCAGTCCTGAAATAACTGTATAACTACTGGTGCTGACATAATGCTTCATTAAAACATCGTTATCTGTCTCCATAACGAAAGATGTCACAGGTCAAGGGATCTGATTTCTCAAGGACTAATCCATTGAATTTCCTCCTCAATAAGCCCTCAACATTAAGAAGAAGCCATTCTCACTGTCACTTGCTTTCAAATACCTCACAAATTATATGTACTGTACTTATTTTTTGTTGCTAATGTAAGGAAAGTTGTTCACCCAAGTGAATGTCTTTTTTTTATATTGCTGGTTCCCTCTTATTCCACATTCAATCTGGTTCAAATTGGTTGATCCAGTAGGTCAGAAAGTGTGTATGCACAATAATAATAATTTGATGATAGATGTACTGTTAGTCATGCTCAATATCCATCATATGTTGATAGATCAGCATATGTGAATATACTGTAAAGGGCAATGTCGGTTGCTCCTATTGCTGCTTGGCAAAGCCTTGGAGGTCTTAAGACTGGTGTCCAAGGAATAATTCAATATATGGTAAAGCCCTTTGTTGGCTTGGGGAATTCTTAGATGTCCAAGTACATAGACAATTTTACAGAAGAATCCCTGTTGCACCCACTCAGTTCAGTTTTAATGTCTGATTAATCTGTTCCACTAAACCATCTGTTAGTAGATGGGAAACTGAAGCAACTTGCACAAGCCCGTCACAAGCTGAGATACTTCCATGGTTCCATAATAACAGTATTTCAATGTTGTAATGGGGACTCATCCGTAGATTAGGTGGAATAATTTGCAATTTCAAAGATATATTCTAGATGATTTTGGCAGCAGACCCATCAGATGCCTTTTCAGTGCACTTAAAGGGAATCTCAATCATATGTGGCATAAGAGGACCTGGTAGTGACTTCTGCGGTGTGGGAAGACAATTAACATCATCTCAGATGTTGTAGAACCTGGTTCAGGCCCAACAGCAAGAAGACAGAGAGATCTAGTATAGTTCCTACCTACCCAGGTTCATTGGAGATACATGCCTCTACCTACATTTCTGTAAAACTAAAAAAAAAACTAAAAAAAAAACACACCTATACATATGAATCGCTGCAGTTTCCAGTTGAAATGAACACTAGAGGCCGTAAAACTTGTATTCCTTTCACATAAATTATGATTTACAGGCCAGAGTTTCGAATAAAAAAGCACAATTCCTTGCACAATATTATGTTATGACCACAAAACAATTTTAAGATGCTGCAAGATTTGAAAATTTATACTTTTGAACGTTAGCATCACAAACACAGCTTCATATGTATGGGTCTTCTAACTCAGTAGGTTTGCTCGATAGCTCATACGATACGGCGTTGCACTTGTGAGGTGAAGCGCTCTGGTACGAATCCTGTGAAACTACGGTTTGACAAAACAGTTCAAACCCGCATAGAAAGAAGTTACAATAGCATGGTTGCACCAGCAAATGTGTTTTTATAAGACTTTTGCATTTGCTAACACTATCGGTTATTTTTACGGTTGAGTTTGGTGTAGGTTTGCTATTTTCCAACACGATGGAGCGTTAACATTTTAGTGACACTCCCTGGACATTTGAATTCTGAACCGACCACAATATGTACCTGAATCAGCGTAATAGAAACACCACAACACATGCCTGTACCAATGTAATAAAAATGTGGCCACGCTCACGTATTGAACGTGCGTTTTAGCGCCACTCACTGGACATTTCACTTTTAAACTGCCTTCGAACATGCAATAAGGTACGTAATAACGGTGTTGCAGAAATGTCACCACAATCGCACACTTTCAGTGAGCCTGGTTGGTTCCTACACTGCAAAGCCACTTCTCAAGCCCTCTGCAATTGGGATTTTTATAACCAGGATTTAGGAAAGAATTCCATGGATACAGATGATAGGAATGGTTCTAGAGCTGGTGATGACAGCTGTCTTGGCCAATGTGACTGCTTTTCCTGAAACTTTCCTTCCATCAATCCTTATATTGTGGATTGGGATATATATGTTAAGGATGTGTGGGTCATGGAAGATGTTCTATGTACAACATGCCAGCATGTTTTATTTGTAAAACTAACCAGGGTAACATAGGCTTATCACTGTGGCTCAGTACAACAGGACAGTGCTTCAGTTTTGAGAGCCCCTCAGGACCAATGTCTCTAGGATTGTGGCTGTGCTTTCTCTCTCTCCCGCATTCTGGCCAACATTTGAGTACCTCATGCCAGCTCTCCTGCATGAACCAATCCCAGGAACATCTTGGGGTCTTTCATGTATAGCACAGCTTTCTTCATTGTAAGGGAATGCAGAAGTCAAGACAATATAATGACCTGTAGAGATTGTCATGGACCATCGGAGTAAAATAATGTCAAGGTGGGATGGTCGAGACATGGGAATGCATAATGTATTTTCACCGATGTTTCCTACAGTAAGTAACCCAACAAATCTTGACATCTAATGCAGAGAAATTATTTGAAATATAATGCCATTTTATGTGATCGTTACACTAATTTATATTGTACTTAAACTGCAAAATAGAATTGCTTCACACTGGTTTGAGGAAATCTATCCCGATACTCAAATCATTTGGTGAGCCAACATTGCTATCTCAGGTCATTCAAACAAACAATCTGCAATTTTATTTCGTGCTGCTAGTGGCACTGAAATTGCTTGGTGCAATTTTAACATAAGCTATGTACAAAATATTTTGTGACATGGGTTATGTAAAAAAAAAAAAATTTGTTTCCCATTGAAACTGGGCCAGTTGTCAGTTGGGATTACTTCTACTCAGTAAGGTGTGTGTGCAGTAAACTCAATGAGAAACCCTTAGCTCATTTGGAGATGCTTCTCAATGGATATTTTGTATTTGTACAGGAGGAGCCATATGTCATGCTTAAGAAGTCTGACAAGGCACTCGTCGGCAATGACCGCTTTGAAGGCTTCTGTATTGACCTGCTTAAGGAGTTGGCCAGCATTCTGGGTTTTTCCTTCGAGATCCACCTGGTGCCGGATGGAAAGTATGGGTTTCAAGATGATAAAGGCCAGTGGAATGGGATGATAAAGGAAATCATGGAACACGTAAGTATTCACATTGTACAGCATCATAGCGTTTAAGTAACGAAGACCACTAATGCTGTTTCTGCTGAGTCAGATTTACCAGTACCTGCATCTCTACTTATACCTTTCACTTTAATAAAGCCTTTCTGCTGGTTTTCTGATGTCTAAACAAAATGCCAAGATAACACAATAACGCAATTAACTGAACGTGTTGCTCATTCCAATACTGCTTCCTCTCACAAAAAGCATGCTGCAAAGGTGACAGAACACACCTGGATTGCATTGACACACCACGAAGACACGGCGGCATGTGCTGCCACAGCGAATACACGTTTAAACGCCTCTACCGAGTCAGCAGAACTAGACAATGCTGAAAGCCGATTCCCCTCAATGTACCCCAAGCCCATTCTCTCAAGTCTCAGTGCTATCAGGCTGGGGGTGTAAGCCCTGTCACAGGAAAATGTGCTGCTGTGCTGGCTTCCCTTCCCATCGCCCTTTTGCTGTCCTCACCCTCTGAGGTCACCAGAAGCCCAGGGCTGGAGAGCTGTAATAGCTTAAGTGGCATTTAGTGGAGGAAGTCATATGGTGGGAGTCAATGGCGAGGTGCTGGAAGGGTTGGGAGAGGTGACTTACTGCAGCGGCACTTAATGTCCCTTGTGCTTTGGCCAGATCTGGCCCGATTGCAGTCACCTTGAGGGGAACAAAGGGATTATGGCTGGAAGAGTCAAAAATGGAGACAGGGTATGTGTGTGTAAATGGCTGGAGATTATAAAGTATAAGAACTACATAACTGTCTCATCAAATTGAATGAAATGTAATAACGCATTAAATAATAGTCATTGCTCCTTGGAATTTGAGATACTGCAAGGTGCAAATTATGGAGGCTTGAGGCTATTTCAGACTTGAACCCCAACAAATTAAGTGGGGTGCAGCCCCCCCCCCCCCCCCCCCCGCCCGATCAATCTAAACTTTTGAATGGTAATGGATACATTAGTCTATTAACTTTAACAACTTGCTGTAAAACTTTATGAAACTTTTTGTATGTCAAATTATTCTATGCATTTGGGGTGAAACACATCTTATTGAGCCAGTTTCGTATGCATGAGGTAATTATTCAGTCCAAACAGGGTTGTAGACGGGCCGGTGTTTTCAGGACTGTAGCCTCAAACCCTTTACTCCCTCACATAATTTGAGAGAAGAGCTGTTGAGCTGTTGTCAGACAGCGTAGCCTAATGAGTGTAGAGCAGAGCAGAGACACAATATGGACATCCAGCATTTTTCATAAAGAAAAAAAAAAAACTTTTCGAAACTCAATTTTCAGGCAACCCCAGCTGAGTTCAGCAGAGTCAGGCAAACTAAGCAAACACTAGACGATAGATCTGCTAAATATGTGGTGCGCATTCATTTAGTTAGTAAACTTAGTAAAAAGGAAAGGAGATGAGGATGAGGTTTGAAGAAAGCACAGTTTTTCCTAAGACACATTCCCCTAAACAATTAACACATTTCTCAAAGCTATAATCATAAATTCAGAACAACAAAATCAGCTGAGCAATTTACAAATTTTTTTCTCACATGGAATGGTGAAATGCTGGTGAAGTGACTCTCAGAGCAGCTCTGGAGATGAAGTTTATGTTTTCATGTCCTCATATAGTGAAAACACCATGAGTGTCACACGTTCTTCAGTATGTGTAGTAGACGAAACTGCACTGCTCATTCACACACAGACCTACAGAGCATGCAGACTTCATATTTATATAGCAGTCTTGCTGTTTAATGTTCACAGACACTCAACCATATCACAATTTGATTCATTGTGCATACCTACTTTTGATTTATTCAGGCGAAATTGACCAAATTCCGTGACATGGTGCAATATAAATTGTATTTCTATGAGTGTATTTTGTGATTATGTCCATGTTTGTGAAATCATCGTGCCCTGAAAAGACATGGTGAACTACATTAGCTTACTGTAGGTCTCATCAGAGACAAATATTCACCTTTATTTCACCTTCTTTTGGCACTTTTTGAAAGCCAATGTACTTGTATGTGGCTATTTTTATACATTGTGAGTTTCTGATTAGTGTGTGAACAATTCTGCATACTAGTGTTCACATAGCGATAACAGTGTTAACTGTGATGTGATGTTAACTGGATGTGATAATGTTGTGACTGTTTTAAATTGCTAGTGTTACATTCCATGTAAGCACATGCTGTGGTTTTGAAAGGGTTTAATAGATTTATTTGTCTTTGTTTTGAAACTATCACTAAGAGTAAATTGATTGGTAAAACTTTGCAATAAGTTTCCATTTGTTTAACATTAGTTAATTATGTTAGTTAACATTGAGATTAATAAATACATTAGAAGTATTTTTCATTTTTAGTTCATGTTAATTCCAACATTTACTAATATATTATTAAAAGCTATTAAAAGTTGTATCCCTTAATAATCATATAGTCACATTAGTCACACTTTATTTTAATGTAAAATTATCACTATTAACTAATTATTTACTATGACTTTTGCATCAATAAACTCCTAATTTCTGCTTAATGGTAGCTATTAAAGTAGTTGTTTAATTTAGGTATGGCATAAGATTAAATTATTTAAAATATAGTCATGCAGAATGAGGCATTAATATGTGCTTTATAAGTACTAATAGCCAATATGCTAGTAATGTACATGCTAGTTAAAAGTGAGAATTGGTCCATAAAATAAAGTATTACTGTTGTATTTTTATTGATTAACATTAACAAATATGAATAAACACTGACTAACAATGAGCAATACGTTTGCTACAATGTTGTTTAATGCATTACCTAATGTGACCTTATTGTGAGTTTTACCAATTAATCTGTAGTTGAAGAAGTCATCTTGTTTAGCTGGATTAATAATGACAATAATTAATAGGTTTTTCCCCAAATGTAGCTGTATAAAGCAATGTGTAACCAGTTTTCCAGAATAAACAAACAGAATGAAGACTGGCATACTATTTAGTGAAATTACTTCAGGGATAGACTAATTGAAGAAGAGAGAAACAAGACAATGCAATTCTTCTAGTTCGCACCTTGAGAGCAGCAGCTTGTTTGAGAGATATAGACCCAATTTATTCCTGGCGTTAATCTGGTATCTGTTTGCGATGATTTGATTACAAGTGGACAGCACTAAATACAGGTGTAAAACATTTGTTAGCTCATTCCACAGTTGCAGGTAATACTTGTTTGTGCACTAGATCATCATTTATACACTAAAAAAGTGAATACAAATGGGCTCGGCAGTCGTTTATGAACATGCCAAATATAATAAACAAGCTCACTTATAATAGTTATCACAACCAAACTCTAGCTCTCAGCTTGTGATCTCATGGTGTGTTTAATCATTGCTTTTCTATAAATATCTCTCAGAAGAATTTGACCAGTTTTAGTTTCTCATCGAATGTTTTAAGCTTTGGGTTCAATGCGATGGATTTGAGTGTGTAGTATACTTGAGCTTTATCAGATGGCCTGCACAGTATCGAAGGTGCAGTGTGTATTTTTAGGAGCACTCATTTTGCGGCTGAGTGCCCCTCTTGCTGCTGTCTATATAGATAAGCTGATCTGGAATCAGCAGACCTGAAAAGCAAACTAAGAAACAAGCTCTGGGACCTGACCTCGGCCTGCCACATGAGGCTGAGCTAGATAGAGTGTTTTCATGTGAGTAAACTCAAAGCCTTATCTCTGAAGACGGATTTATGGACTCTGTGATTTCTCAACCGATTCTCCCCAAATGTTGCAGCTTGAGCCCTTCATGAAAACAATTTAAGACTTGAGCGCAGAAGGAACTTTTTTTAATGGAATGATATTTCTGAAGTTATTTCCATGAACTTAGAATGGCTTTTACAATTGCCTCGCCATTCGTACGTCAACATAAGCTACAGGAAACATTTTCAGTTATAGACTAGAACCCAGTTGCTCGAGAGTCCTTGTTGTGAGTGCACGGGAAACTGAGAGGCTGTTATTAATGGCTCTTGTCAAAGTTATTTATCAGCTCAATTTATTTTCATCAGTATTTTTTATTAGCTCTTACAGAATTTTCATTACATTGGTATTGTTCTTTACACGATGAGTGTGTGTTATTGCTTACCATGACATGCACGTGTAGGGTCATCCATCGAGGGCTCGTAGATTTAAAGACAACAAGCAACAAGGGATTAGTACAGGGTTGTTTTTGGCTGATAAAGTGCCATTAAATCATAGGGTGATACATTTTTACTGTCACCCTGCGTGTTCACATAAATCATGGTTTCATAACTGAATTATCAAACGCCTTTGCCCTAGTACATCTATTTAACGGCATGTGCTTGTGTAGGTTTATCAAAACAAGTCAGACTTATTTGTCTTTGTAGGTCACCAAGCCCCTTGAAATGAAGTATAATCAGATATATGAGAGAAATAACAATAAAATCCCAACTTTCACAAAACAAAATCTAAATTTCAGTGATAGACATCCCACTGCCAAAAATAACTAGGTCTCATTCACTAATAATTGCATTAATTATTTGTATTTATATGCACAGGAGAACTTCACACACACACACACACACAAAACATCCACCTACCATCACATATACAGCTTCATATGTATGGATTATCTAGTGCAGTAGTGTGATACATCTTTGCACTTGTGCCTACCATCACATATACAGCTTCATATATATGGATTATCTAGTGCAGTAGTGTGATACATCTTTGCACTTGTGAGGTGAAGCGCTCTGGTATGAATCCTGTGAAATGTCTCTGGTTACGCATGCAACCATGGTTCCCCGAGAGGGAACGAGACGCTGCGTCCTCTAGCGGACACTTGACTGCCGCCAGCAGGACCAGTGTCTGAAGCACGTGTGAAACAACTCCAATCCTATTGGCCCACGTAGCCTGTGATGTCACAGGTTGAACACATCACCAACTTAGTTGTCTGGAGGAGATGTGAAACAGGCAGCCCGAAGCCCTGGCGAGGTGACGCAGTGTCTCATTCCCTCTCGGGGAAC